TTATTACTGTTGAATCTTTGTTTCCAAAAGATGAAGTTCAATTTGCTAAAGATTTCCAAACAGCCATGTATCTTGCCAAGCTCAATAAGATTCCACGTATTATTGTCGATGTTACCAACAATGGTGGTATGTATTCTATTTTAACATTATTATTCAAATAATTTCCAAATACTAATACTATTCTGATTAATTTAATAACAAATAGGTGGTGAAGAATGTTTGGGTTATGCCCTCATTAAATATTTGCACTCTAATGCCTTCTCTAGCAATTTTGAAACTCTCTTTGCTAGAACTGACATGATTGCCACAGAATTGGGAAGACAATTAGCAACTGCTGGAACCAAATTGTCACCAGATGCTGATTCTATTTGGAATTTTGCTACTTGGAAGACTATTGATGGAAAGAATTTCAAAGATGAAACTTGGTATACCAATCAAAAGAGTTACATTAGAGGTACTGATGGAAAACCAGCATTCTATTCATCCATTCTTAAGGAAAATTATTGTCAACCATCATTTGATAATTACTATTTCACTGGTGAAGATTTGTTAAAGTACTCACCAGATGATTTCATTCTCCTCTCAAATGGTAGATGTGCCTCCACTTGTGCATTGTTCACTCGTCACCTCCAAGAATCTCAAAAGGTAAAGACTGTTGTCGTTGGTGGTTTGAGTGGTCAACCACAACAAATTGCACAAGTTCCAGGTGGTCAAGTTTATGAATTTGAAGATTTACTTGCTGATATTAAGAGTTTGAACATTAATTCAGATGTTACTCCAAAGCCACTTCCAGTTCAATCAAGATTCAGATTTGCCATTCGTGAAGCTTATGCTTGGAATCAAAATGAATTAACACCTTTGGAATTCTTCTTTGAAGGTTCTGATTTCAGATTGAGTTATACTAAGGAAAGTGCTGTTGATAGATCAAAGGTTTGGATTGATACTATGAAATTCTTTGATATTTGTGCTAAATGGCAAACCAAGGCATGTAACTTGACAAATGGACAAGGTGTTCAAAATTGTAATACCAACACTGGTAAATATGTTCCAACCTGTATCTTGACCAGCTGTAATCCTGGATTTGGTTTCTCTGCTGAAAAGAAGAACTGCATTCCATGTGCCATTGGTGAATATAACCCAGGTCAACTTTCCTGTACTGCTTGTACTAATAAGCCAGCTGAAAATGCAGTCTACACCAACTCATCCACTACCAACAATTGTCCATTCGCTTGTGATGATGGTTATGATTACAATGCCTCAAAGAATACTTGTGTGATTTCAGAAGATATGAAAGTTGGTAAGGCCTTCTTTGGTATCATTATTTCCCTATGTGCTCTCTTCTTAATCTTTGCAGTTGCCTTACTCATTGTGACCGTTGTCATGTTTGTAAGGAATTACAAACGTGTCTCTGGTGAAAGAGCTACTCTCTTATAACTCAAATAAAACATCAATTTAATTCTCAAGATTCTCAAGTTTGTTCCATTAAACATGTAAACAGTGAGATATGATCATATCGGGTTGGGAACATGCCCATTCGTGTATGATATTCTGCCAATTATGTCTCTGCAAAACCACAAATCAAACACACAAAAAAAAAGCTCCACACTACGAATAAGCAAAAACAGGGCCACCCACAACAATTTTGGATTGTGTGGCGACTGTGCTGAAATCAAAGAGACAGCATCGGGTGCTGCTTGTGTGTTTTTTCTTATGATTTTTATCGGAGAGAAATGATAACGAACAACAGGAAATATAATCATCATCAAAAGGGAGGAGCAATATCTGGA